CAGTCCCTGGTGCAGTCGGTGTCTCAGCTAGTTTACGTACTACAACGCCCAACATCGTTGTTTTCGCCGTCACTGTTATGGCGGCGGCTTGGCGGGGCTGCCGCTATTTCGAATCTCTGTAGCAGATTTCACACTACAAATAGATTTGACTAGGGTTTGAATAACAGACAATTGGATGAATGATTTTCTGATTACTCTCATTACAAGGTGTATATTGACACCCGACTCGTTATACGTTTATATGCTCTTGATGTGAATTTATGGTATCTCTAATGCATTGATGTGGTGGTTTGAGTGTGTTTTATAATTTTCGGTTTGGCGGAAGTTGAATTGAATGTCTTCAATTGTCATCAACTTTAGGCAATAGAGTTGATTATCATCTTGTTTGCAGCTAGGTACTGCCACTTGCTTTTGTCATTGTTGTTGATACTGCTTGCTTATCGGGATCCTGTTTAAATTTGCTAATTGTTACATCTTGTTTAACTTTGAGGTGTCCCGATCATAGGAGAAAAGGAGATGAACCACTTGCTTTTGTGCTATTAGTTAATAAGGGATATGATTTGAGATTATGCTTGATTAGTGAACTTGTGATAATCTTTGTCATAATCGATTGTTACATATAGTATAGCTGCCGCCCTGGTGCTGCATTCACTTGAAACCTACCGTTGTGTTTGCTCCACAAAGCCCTGAATTCACATTTACACTGTCTTGATTTGGGTTTAGGTTGTATTATAGCATCAGCTTGGGTTTTGATTGTTGTTTTTTGTGTTAGTTGGACATTGGATTTGAAGTTTTAAATCACATTTAGCATTAGGATTTGACGAACAGATTGTAATAGGGTATGTGTGTGTCAGTTCATATCTGTTGTTGCTTAAGTGATGGTGGCTGGGGGTAGGGCTGCAAGTGACTTATGCAGCTTGTCACTCCCATCTGAGTCTGTTTTGTTCTACCCAAGAAAAGCTTCCCAGCAAAGTGTTAGTAGATCCCGAGCTCAGTTTTCAAACTGGCATAAGCTTTAATAGGACTTGTCAAGCTTGCGAATTCTTTCATGTGGATTGTTTACCTTCGAATGTTGATGGATAGATTGGAGGGTTGCTTCTATAAATCTTTTGTTGATCCCTGTCTGCCTTTGTGTTGTTTCCTTCCTGTTTAGCCCTGTGTTTCAAGGTTACGGTATAACTTTCCTCGTAGCTGTAAGCCTTTTACTTAGCTCTGGACATTAAACGCTTGGAATGAATCGTTCTCCTACTTCTCTGTCGGTCCCTGCTCTTTGTGCTGTATGGATGGTTGATCGGTTAGGCAATAGGGATAGTTTCTAACTGAACATTTGGAAATCTGTGATGGTCTTAAATGAAGAGAACCTTCAGGCGGATGTCATGTTCTTGTATATTTCGACATTGAAGGTGCTCTAATTCGGCTCGTGATAACATTGGTGGAAACCTATTGTATGCATTGCTTGGTTCTTATTTTTGGTAATGCATACAATAGGTTTCCACCGTTGTTATATGATATAAGATATAATCTGTATTTTGGCTCTGTGATAACAGTGGCGGGAACCTATTGTATGATATAAGATATAATTTCCTCTACAGTGCAGCTTTAATAGGTGACGGTAAAAACTCTTGTATCTACATTTATGACGAAAAATATAGATGCAAGAGTTTTTACTGTCACCTATTGAAGCTGCACTGTACAGTAAATTATATCTTATATCATATATACTAAAACTCAGTTTATTCCGGAACTGTTCATAAACAGTGAAAAAGCGAAATTGCCCTCGGTTTCTTCTCTGTTTCATGTTCCCTAGCCTCCTTGGTACAGCTAAATGACCATATTGTCCATCTTGGCCACGCGTCTATCATCGCTGAAATCTCTGCTTAGATGGTATCTTTTCAATTTTTCTTTCGATTTCCACTTCTGTCTCACAAATCTCTTCTTCTATCACTCTCGCTCTCAAATCCCGAGTTTTTTCTCTCACAAAATACCGATGAAGGAGACCCTGTTTTTGTATGTTGGGGATTTTGTTTGCAGCCACCATCTTCAGAGGAGGTGCCGATCCCTTGAAACCTAGCTTCCTCAACGTTTTCTCAAAACCTATAAAGTTGGTTTCGACCGTTCGATCCCGATCCCACAATCGTTGCCCCAAAACTTTTAGAATAGAGAAGTGTTATTGACACTTCAAAAATCTCATTTTACACCCCTCAGAAGTGTATTTTTCTTTCCAAATATAGAAAATTTGAAGTATAGAAATGCTAATAACAATTCCCTTAGAATGTTGCCTCTTTTATGCGTCTATCCTTTCCAAGGTACAACTTCAACAATCCCATGTTTTAAGGGGTGTATTTAATTGAGAATTTTGAGAGATTTTAAATGATTTATAAATCCATGTATTTTTATGGTTTTTAATTGATTTGGAGAGATTTCATATAAAATTTTGATTCAATTCTCTCGAAATTTCATGGGGAGAGGTGAGATTTATGGATACTTAAAATACACTAGGAAATCTCTCCAACTCCCTATAATTCCTCAACTTTCTCAAATTTTTTAAAATCAATATCTAATTGAATACACCTGAAATGTTATAAATTTCTTTATAATCTTAATTGAATACATTCAGATTTCTAAGAATTTTAATAATCTATTTTAAAATTTTAATTGAATACATCTTCAATTTAAGAGAATCACATAAAATCCTAATTGAATACCCTAGACTTATTAAAAGAATCAAAATCACTCAAAATCTCGATTGAATACATCCCGCTTAATTTGTTTCTAATTTTATTTTTTATTTTTGAAGTTTTGGATTTGTAATTTTTTGTTTGGTGCCTAACAATATCTGGTCCTATGTTTTAATTTGGATGTTTTTGTGATTTTGGGTTCGTAAGTTTAATTCACTCCCCTCAAGCCCACTTCTGCTCCTTGATTCGCTACCCAGAAGATCAAGTTCTCAAGGTTCGGTTGTAGACATCAAAATTTCGGTGAAATGAATGTTGACCAATAATTAAAATTTCAACGTTCACGTGTCACATAAATTTTACATGTAGCGTGTGATTCAACGAAAAATCGAAATAAATTGGAAAAGTCATCAAATATGACACGTGTCAATACCTGGCAGAAATGATTTATTTCATCTGATTATTTAAATCCAAAAATCAAGTTTTGGAATTCTATAAATAGGAGGCCAAGGCATTCATTTTGGAAGGAAGGAAGAAAGAAAAAAAGAAGGAAGGAAGAAAGAAAAAAAAGAAGGAAGAAAGGAAGAAGCCTTGAAACTCTAAAGCTCTCAAGCAAATCCCGAAGGATCAAGAAAGTACTCTTCGTTCATCGTTCATCATCCGTTCATCCTAAGATCAAGCCCCAATGGCCCTTTGGATCAACAACCTCAACAAATCCACACATCCAATCGTTCTTCAAGATTAAGCCCAAAAGCCCTTGAAGATCCGCTCATCCGTTCATCCTTCAAGATCAAGCCCCAACGGCCCTTGAAGAACTTCCACCAACTCAAGATCAAGCCCCGACGGCCCTTGAGGAAAGTGTTCATCATTCATCATCCGTTCATCCTAAGATCAAGCCCCAACGGCCCTTTGGATCAACAACCTCAACAAATCCACACATCCAATCGTTCTTCAAGATTAAGCCCAAAAGCCCTTGAAGATCCGCTCATCCGTTCATCCTTCAAGATCAAGCCCCAACGGCCCTTGAAGAACTTCCACCAACTCAAGATCAAGCCCCGACGGCCCTTGAGGAAAGTGTTCATCATTCATCATCCGTTCATCCTAAGATCAAGCCCCAACGGCCCTTTGGATCAACAACCTCAACAAATCCACACATCCATTCATCCTAAGATCAAGTCCAACGCCCCTTGAAGATCCATTCATCAACTGTTCATCCTTAGATCAAGCCCCGACGGCCCTTTGGATCAACAACTCATCCACAAACCTACACCCTACGAAGATAGAATCAGAGGATCAAATTACAAAGAGATTGTAACCCCAAAATCATTAATACAAAAATATATTTTGTACACGTATTCTTGTCTCTTGTTTCAGGAATTTTTCGTGTTTACATCGGTCTTTCCTCCTCAACTTCTTCCTTCCTGCTCGATTTAGATTGGAACGAAAAAGCTCCAACATGGGATCAATTTCTTCTCCCTCACTGATTATTTATTTCGGTATTTCATGCATATTGGTATTTTTTTTTTCATTAATTTTGGTTATGTGATTAGTGATTTTTGTTCTTCAATTTATATTGAGTTTTTCTTTCCGTTGTTTTTAGGGTTTTTTGCTCTGCAAATTTCGATCAAATTGCCTGCATTTGAGTTATTTTGTAATTATCGTAATTTAAATTGGGTGGAATTGACCTTTCCATTCTCCAAAATCTTTGTTAGGGATTACATTTTGCTTAAATTTTGTGAGTTTAAAAAAAGATTAGGACTTTTTCTGATTTTATATTATTTATACAGTTCCAAAGCACTGTGTGTTAAACAGTGGAATTTTGATTCAGATTGTAGTAATTGCCGTACAAGTTTACACTTATGTGTGGATTGGTGCAACTTTTGGGGTTTGTGCGACGTTATTTTGATCAGTTGTTGGCTAAAATTTGGTTAGTTTGATTTGGGTTTGTTGAAATTGTTTCAACGGTGGGCAGGATTGGTGCTTTTGATAGCGTTGTCTTAAATGGAGGATGTTAATGAAGTTAATGAACATGCTTATCTTTGTAGGCTTGACTTCTGAACATAAAACCTACTCTTTTCAATTGTTGGGAAGGGTTTCTTAATTTTTATTTCTACTTGTGTGTGTTGAATTTTGGGTTATTTTGTGGATGTTATTCAATTGAATGAAAAATTGATGTTTTTTGTACTTTTTGGTTTTGTAGGATTTTAGCTAAATAGGCAATTGGCTGCGAGGTAGGAGGAGAGGAAGGTGAGGTATACGGATGAGCTGGAGAGGAAGGTGCAGACGTTTCGGATCAAGGCAACCACCCTATCAGCACAGGTCACTCTATAATATGTATAATATCTGTTATTGATTGTTTTTCCTTCTTGGTTAATTGAATAAAATTGTTTTTTATGATATTCAATCAATGGAAAATGTGACTTTCACAAGCTCCAAGCCTTTCTCAATTATAGAGATCTCAACTTGTATCTAAAATTTGCTTAAGACACTGGTGGAAAAATGTATTTAACGTTTTACGTTCATATGCATAGGCTCGACTTCTAAAAATGTATCCTGCAAAGCTATGCTTCACAAGTTTACAATGCCTGTCAAGTGCAGCACATACATTTGTGTTCCATAATTGTATTCGATAAGGATAATACTATCACTGCACCTTATTCCTTGACTCTTTGGGCCTTTTTGAGTCTTCGTTGGAGCAGTGCAAATCAGTTTTCCGACTCAATATCCTGGTGTTCAGTAACTCGGCTGGTAATTTTTGACATAATCCATTTGAAAATTTTAGTTGTTTTTGTTGTTGGTTATATTTATTTGTCAAAGTAATGATTTTGGTTTAATGGTCAGGGCATTATGAGTATGATCATGATGCATGAAAAGCTAGGGAGCTTGACGTGCCAATTAGAATTAAAATGCTAATACATAGTAAGTGTTTGGGCTTATTTTTTTATTTTTTTATTTTTTTTAATTTCTGGAGCAAAGTTTTTGAATTTCTCATTTTTCATACACCAAATTCAATTTGAAAAGAGTAGGTAGCTTAAATACAAGTTTTTCATAGGAACTATAGAACTTATGTAGTATTGATGTAGGTATTTTTGTCTTATGTAATAGGAGTGAAGAAACCAGCTGGATTAATCATCATCTTATTTTTATCAAATTTTGCAGTATAAATCACAATTGCATATTTTTGTTCGTATAATTTGTTATTACTTACTAGATTTTTTTAATTGAAAACTACTCATTAGATTTAGAATAATCATCATGACATTGGAATTCAAGTTTTTGTTTGTATCAGTGCATGCTATTGCTAATCACCAACTTAAAATTACACTCACTTTACATGTAAAATTACACTCAACTCAGATAACTTTAGCAATCTTGCTGGTTTTGACCGTGCTATTTTATGGATCTGCAGAATAGCTTTCTTCTTTACACTTCTTCATTATCTCATGCCAAATGTCTAACACTGACTCTTTTCTCTGCAGAAAATTTTAGGGCATTGTGCACAGGTAATTGGAGCTACTGCAATAATTGGAGCTACTGCAACATTTTATCACTGACATGGTTGGAATGTGTAGAAATTTAACGGAGAGGGAGTAAATTGGCTAATTAAAATAGTTTGAGTGACAGTGATCATAAAGTTCAGTGGCAAATTGATAAAGTAGTCTTGAGCTAAATTAACCATCTACTTAGAGATACATTAACAAACATCTGCGTGCACATTTATTCCTAATATTGTGGACACTATGTAATGATTGCCTACGATATTATTGTTTACAAACTTGCATTCCAAATTTGAAAGATCATCTATTACCATATGGTGCACTTCTACTGAGAATGTAACGTTTATTGTGATTAATTGTTTAGTTTACATGTTTTTGTGGTGCACATATGGTGATGCAGAAGCTTGAGAGGTCCTCTGGATTTTGGTAGTTGCAAATTTGCAATGATCAAGAAACATGGGACATGATACTAGAAAATGTGTTTGTAGATTCAAAAGTTAACTGTTGTTAATGTTATTATAGTAGAATTTCATTTCATTTTGATGTTGGGATACGATGAATCATGATCGGGTTATGATTAATGCTAATTAATGATATGAATCAAATGCTTGCAATGTGTAATTATGATTGGATTAAAGGAGTTTGAGTTTTTTCTCTAATGAAAGTTATAAAACAAATTGTACTTTTAGGTACTTCACAAGTCAGAGGCCAAGTCTTAAAATATCTTTTGTAATGTTTTCAGAAAAACATTTTCAATTTTTGCAGTGGGATACTGAGATTTGAACCAGTCCAGGGTAAAAAAAGTTTGATAACATTGCACAAGATTGGAACTTGCATAGTAGTTTTATATTCAGTTTGTGGAGCGAGTAATTTGTTATCGGTACAATTGGTTTCTCTTTACATGCCTATACTCGCAGGAGATAAATTCAGGTATTACATGTTTGATTTTAGTTGTTTTTAAAGTTAATCATCCACTGCTTCTTTTTTTATTCATGTTTGTTTCTCTCAACCAAAAACCAGAACCAACCTTCTCCAACTCTCTAGCAGTAGAACCACATCTACCACCAGGCACCTCATGCGTGTCAAAAGCAGGCCCTTTGAGCTTCAGTCCGGGGGTAAGCTTCTCTCTTTTGATTGGATTCAAGCTCAAGTCCTCAGGTAAAACCCATCTTCCATTCTTCCTTGGTTTTTTTTCTTATCAGCATCTAACAGTACTATTCTCTTTATGTTTGGGTGAAATTCTGTAAATTTTGTATATTTTTTTTATGAAATTTGATTCTTAATTGTGGAAATGCATGGTATTAATTTTGCATACAAAGATTGAAGGGTTTGTTTTTATGCTTTCAAGCTTGGTTATTGAGAGGTTGTTGGTCAGGGAATTTATTTTAGTTCCTATCCCCTTGCTGTTTGCAAAGCAAAACACAGATGATTAATGTATTATTTAAGGTTTTATTTAGTTTTTGTGTTGGGTTCCGCATACTTTCGAAAATATAAGAATTTCTACGTTTGTGGATATGAAAATCAGGGCTGCAGACCCTCATCTTCACATTTTAGTTTCTCTTTTTGCTTCTCCCTTTTGGGATTTTGTGGAACCAAATTTGTAATTTTTGTGTATTATGAAAGTTGAATACGTGGGAATCAATCAGTTCTTCATTTTTCATGTATATGGAGAATGTTGTTTTCTGCTCTTTTATGGGTTTGGGTTTTTTTTATAGAACTTATGGTTTTTTTTCTCTTTCAGTTTTTATAACAGGTGTGAACTCTAAGGGTTAAAATTTTCAGAGTTGTGGTACTTTTTTGGTGAGGGGTTTCGAATTTCTGGGTTTAAAGCGGATCGATTTTTATATTTAGGTTTAATATCAGGAAGAATTGAAAACGAATTTTGCCTTTTTCGATTATTTCATAAGTGCTAGCTTGCTATATTTATTATTTTGTAGGTGTAAATATAGTTCCCAAAGCAAGCTCGCTTATTTTTCAACTCTTTAACTGATGTGTGACTTCCAACTGTAATTTTTTGTATTTCTTCTATCATGTTCTGATTATTGAATTTGAAATCACTTAATGAAATGAAATTGCCAAACCATGTTAGAGTGTAATTTTACGCGCTCCATTTGAGTTTACAAACAACATTTACATTCATATGTATCTTTTGTTCAGTGCCCATCACCTGTCTGATAAAATGTACCAGAGAAACATGCACGCCTGCACACACGGTTTTCTCGGTTTTTTGTTCTCTGTTTTTAGATGTTTATGGATTTAGAATTTTATGGGTGAAATGCCTCTGCGCATTGGGTCTAAATTGCAGGTGAGAAAAACAGAGAGCCAGCAAAGCTTTGTAGAGAGGAGGCATGAGTTTCCTGTGATGGTAAGTCTATTCCTTCATTTGGGTAAAGCATCTTCACTGTCTTGGACCAAGCATGAATTCCTAAGCACTGTATCACCACAACCTGAGCAAGCAGAAAATCATTCTAAAAATCCCATTTTGCAGAAGCATTTAACATCCATAATTGGAATCTTTATTTTAACATTTATTTTTTCCAAAACTGTGATGAGCAATATGTGTTTCTTTTTTTTTTTTTTAACAAATTTTTTCCTTCAGTTTTGCTGACGTAATAATTTGATTAACACCTACTTTTGAATATAGAATTTGGGTTATAATTATCTGCAATTGTGGTGTGTTCGGCAAAACTCAAGACCCTTTTATGCATCTTTTGTTGTGATTGGTTTGTCGGATGTCAACATGTGGTACACTTTTTGAGTTTGAGTACCTTTGTCTGTTCCTATATGATAATGAGATGTTAATTTAGGCTATAATGATGAATCTTTGTATTTAAGAATTTTTTTTATTTTTTCATGACAGATGTGTTTGGCATTAGCCATGATTTCATCTGGGTAATTACGAAATATCAAAATGTATGCTTTCTGCTAAGGATAACACACTCTTGCGGGAACTTGGACACCCCAATATTTTGCATTCTGATTACAAAGTATCTACCAAAAGTACATACCGCTATCAATTATATGATATTTTCAGATTGTTAGTGGCTTTGTTCTATTTTATATATTGACACACAACATTAAAATCCGATCATAGTCCACTAAAAAGTATTGAATGTGTTATGAATAGAAACGCATTCTAACATGGTTTTCTTTTTACAGTTGAATTATCTACAGAAAAGTTCTCTAAAGATGGTTACAGTGGAGACCAATATTCAGAACACAGTGGACAAGTCTTTACGAGCTAATCCTACTGGTAATAGAAACCACATCCTTTGTCTCTCTGCTTACATGCTTTTTAACATGGAGAGAAATTTAATCTGTATTTCAGAATTAGTGGTCTTCTTGATGTTCAATTGTACGAAAATGGTTCTTGAAATTGTATTTTTGGAATTAGTGATCTTGATTCAGAACAAAAGGACTGTGATTTCCTTCCTACATTCCACATGTATGGAAATAGTATCGCTATCATATATATATTTACAAATCCTACATGTTCTATATAGTTTTGAAACTCACAGCATAGGAGACCTCTGTTTTCTATATAGTTTTGAAACCCGCAGCATAGGAGACCTCTGTTTTGTATTAGTGATATATTTCGCTCAGGCATCAGTGCTAGCATATACAAGAAGAGAAAATTGCCTAAAACACTGTTCATTCGACAGGGTCATGCCGTTTTTACCCCTTCTTTGTTTCTGCGGTCACTGTTTATTCTACAGTGTGATTCCATTTTTAACCCTGTTTTAGTGAGGTGATGGTGGACGTGAGTTGCTGATGGTGGACGCGTGTTCTCTCTCAGATTTCTCGACCTCGCTCTCTTGAAGATTCCGGTGAACCTTTCCGTTTCTTTCCTGTGCAGACTTCTCGAGTTCTCTCTCTAAAATTTCATCTCTCTTCTCCTTTAAACCACTTTCTCTCTCTAGAACTCCCTGGCCGCTGCCTTTTCTCTAATGGTTGAATATGGGCCTGCATAAACCCTATGACGAGTAAGTACCTTCGATCTGTTATTTTCAGTGTTTTGAAAAAGGGTTAGCTGAAGCTCATTTGAGTAGAAAATATTGAGAATTTGAGAAATTCGAGTTTCGGATTACTGCTGTGATGTCGGAGTTCGTTACTGCAATGCAGGGTTGTGCATGATTTTTGGGATATATTTCTTGATTAGTGTATGTTTTATTAGCTATTGAGAATTGTAATAGAATCTTACCCTCATTTGTGGTTGAATTTGGTAGATGATTTCCTTGGCACAAGAACATGAACGAAGCCCAGACATCCTCAAAACTGCAGGCAAGAATGTGTTTTTGACTCTCTTTTATGTGTTTTTGACTATTAGTTAATTTAGTTTATCCCAGGTATCTTTTTCCCTCTGTTTTATGTGTTTTTGACTATTAGTTTATTTCCTCCGGCTTCAATGAAAGGATGCGAAATTTACACTGCTCGATAATCTATAAACATTGAAAACAATAGAAGGTTTGCTGGTGAGATGAAGTGGTTAGCATGATTTGCTCTCCCTTCCTTTTACATGCAATCAGCTTTTCAAAAGTATGTGATCTCACATCCATGATTACTTGTCTCCATCTATGCAGAGTGGAGAAAAAACATAATATTATATTCTAATTTATATTGTTACTGACAGAAAATTCAACTTTAAAATAGTCGGTTTCATTCATCCTTATCCTAACAACTTTCTCATAGCAAGTTCTCACATCATCTTTCATTGCATTTTAAAAGTTCCTTTTTTCTTCTTATGTGCAGGTGTTTTCATTTCTCTATTACAAATTGAAAAAAAAAAAAAAATACAAGTTGATCAAGGAGTTGTATAGCTATTTTTGCTGCATAGATGGAGATGAGCAACCATGGATGTGAGATCACATGCTTCAGTACTCAAACCAATCTTTAAAAAGTTAATTGGCCAACCGTATAAAGATTGTTAAAATATTTTGGAAAATAAGCAATTAATGATGTAGATGAGAAAATTTAGATGTTATTTGAACCTATTATTTCCTTCATTTATTCAAAGATTCAAATATACTTTGGTTGACTTTTAGATCGATGTGCAACATAACTCTTTTGTGGTTCCCAACACAAATCAAAATCTCACATTTCTTTTGTGGTTCCCACCGCAACTCTGTTGGAATGAACTCTTTTGTCGTCCCAACTTCCTTCATTTATTCAAAGGTTCACCTTGATATTGATGTTCCAGATTACGTTCGATTTATAATCGAACTATTAATTGGAGGATTTGATACTACAATTGTTATTCCCTCTGGTCGTACAGCATCGAATTCATTCGAGTTGGATAAGAATGTTCCTGTTAGTTATTATAATAATATTAGAGCTGGAGAGCGTTTTTATAAAACTTGTTTTGTTAATTATACTCCTAGTATAATTAATATTCCTATTAATTACTATGTTAATGTAAATTTTAAATATTATCTAAAATCAGATAATATTAATAGGATAGATTTTAGTTTATCTAATATTAATTGAGATATTTATTATCTCAATTATAATAAAAGTTTGTAAGTTTTTTAAATTTAATATCAATAAAATAAGCAATTTCACTTGCATACTCAAGTATTCTTCCATAACAGTATATCAATATAATAATAATATAAATAATTGACTTTAGAATTAAGAAGCCAACAAAGGCTATTTATGTATCTTCAGTTCACAGTGCCGTCTCTGCACAAGTTACCTCCACTACACTATAAATAGAAGAAGCCACTCACCCAACTCTCCCAACTCTCACTTCCAATGGCTTCCCATCAAGTTTTTTCATCCTTCCTCTTCCTTCTCTGTCTCCTTCAATCCATTAAAGTCGGCTACCCGGCGACGTTCACCATCGCAAACAAGTGCACCACCACCATATGGCCGGCCATTCTGTCTAATGGCGGGACCGACCAGCGACCGGCCACCACTGGATTCGCTTTGCCTCCTGGAGAGTCCAACACGTTTTCCGTCCCCACCTCGTGGTCCGGTAGGTTATGGGGGCGAACGCTCTGCTCCCAGGACTCAACCACAGGCAACTTCTCTTGCTTGACGGGAGACTGCGGGTCTTCTGCAGTCGAATGTGCAGGCCGTGGAGCCGCGCCGCCGGCTACTTTCGCAGAGTTCACGCTGAACGGTACGGGCGGGCTTGATTTCTACGACGTGAGCTTGGTCGATGGGTATAACCTTCCCATGTTGGTGGTGGCCGAGGGCGGGACCGGAGGGAACTGCACGACCACCGGGTGCGTTGTGGACTTGAACAACGGGTGCCCCTCGGAGCTGAAGGTGACGGCTAGTGGCGAGGGAGTGGCGTGTAAAAGCGCATGCGAGACGTTTGGGGAGCCCCAGTACTGCTGTAGCGGGCCCTACGCTACGCCGGACACATGCATGCCGAGTTCCTATTCGCAATTTTTTAAAACTGGGTGCCCGAAGGCTTACAGTTATGCGTATGACGACGGCACCGGCACCATCACCTGTGCTTCCGCCAATTACATCATCACCTTCTGCCCTGCTCCTTCGATCAGGTAACCATTTTCACTATTGATCATTTTTAGACTAAAATCACGACTAAGATCAAAATCTAATTTTAGTGTTTTATGCATTAATCATTTTATTTATTGTTATTATTATTCTTTATGTTTTAATTACTTCTCTTTTCTTCCTAAGTTTAATGTATTAATTTTATTTCATTGATTGTAATATATTTTGTTGAAAATATTTAGATAAATTAATTTTTGTTATACAATATATTTTGATATACTTTGTCTTCTACATTTAGGTATTAAATTTATTATAATACATTTCGGTGCATACAATTAGATATACACATTTCGGTACATACATTTTGATACAAACATTAAGTACACTAATTCACTATAATACATTTCGGTAAATAAATTTAAGTATATATATTTCGGTACACATATTTAGGTACATTAATTTATTATAATACTTTTTGATGCATAAATTTTAATATTAATATTTAGGTACATTAATTAAGTCTCTTAAGTTTGAAGAATATTAAATAAAATTAATAAATTAATAAAAAAAAATTAAAACGTGCATATTATAGGTTCGACCACTTTTGAATAGTCAAATAAATAAGACATGGCTGGCACGTTATTGTTTAACAATTGACATGTATCGCCATCCATGCATTTGTGATTGCAGGCTACTGGCACAACGTGTAACACTTTTCTAATTATTTAATTACATATTTTAATTTATTATATAGTTTTAAAAAATGTATTTCTGATTTTTGAGTGAAATATTGACGGTGGGTTTTGCACTTTGCAGCGTGAAGTCATCGAATGGGACGGTCGCTGGTACAGTCGGTGTCTCAGCTAGTTTACGTTCTACAACGCCCAACATCGTCGTTTTCGCCGTCACTATTATGGCGGCGGCTTGGCTGGGCTGCCGCGATTTTGAATCTATGTAGCAGATTTCACGCTAAAAATAGATTTGACTAATAATAGATAATTGGGTGAATGATTTTCTAATTACTCTCACCCAATTTGTTTTATTGTCATGATTTCCTTGTTCTTCGTTCACTGAACTATCATCTTGTTTCTTAAAAAACTTACTAAGAGATCCAACCTGAGATTTTATTAATGCTTCTTCATTTGTCTTATTTCTTCTTTTTAGAGATCTAGAGAGATATTTTTTGTTTCTGTTAGTGGGCTTACTATTTCTAATAGGAGACATGATAACCAACTGCTTTTCAATCAAGAAATCACAATCCCACAATCAACTCAATATTATGTAAACAACAAATTGACAGAGAAACAAACTAAAATTCAAATTTCATCCACTACCCAACACAAAAATTTGATACAGATAACACAACACAAAACAAGGTGCATAAAAAATACGGTAAAATTCAACATTGAAACTTTGAATTATCTTGAACCAAAACTAGTTAGGAAGCAAAAGTAACCAACCTTGTTAAGTGCATCCACAAGTTCGAATTTTATAATTGCAATATAGACACTTGACAAGTGAACAAAAAAAAACAATTGTAAATAGTGTATGATGAGATTTTTGGAGTGTCAATAACATTTTTCTATATATAATATATATATATATATATATATATATTTGGGGGCCCTCCGAAGTGTGGGCCCTAGGCGGGGCACCTACTCAGACTACTCTGTATATATACAAATACAACATTCAATTACACCTATTTCTAAGGCTAGGAATTCATGATCCACCTTTGATGAGATTTGATCAAGACTAAATCAGGAAAGTAAATATTACAAAGATAATTCTTAACATACAACTTTGCATGTGGGTGTTAAACGGCGCCGTAACAAAGCTATGGCTTCATGTATGCAATTTTGGTGATACATACAAACACAAACACATTGTGATCCATGTCGTCTGATTTCAAAAGGACAAATCAGGGGCGTTGCCTTTGCTGCCAAGCACAAAGGGTTTTCCATTTCTTTTTTCTTAATTATTGTCATTTTCGGATTTTAGATTGAGATGTAAATAATTATATATAGTAGAAAGCAGAAAGAATTAGTATCTGGAAATGTAATTCTTTTGCTGCTAGATGTATGTTTTGGTCAGCATCATGAAAGTCTGAATAAAATGTGGTCATGTCATTGTTTCACTTTGAATTGCTGATTAAAACATGCAACAATGTTTCCTAGAAAAGCACAATAGGCAGAAGAAAAGCGAGAGTAAGAAAGAGAATGAGAAAGGGGATATCGAGTACCTGAAGAACAAAGCATCGAGGCAAAATGATTAGCTTGGTTGGACATGTGGTAGTCGCTATGCCATGCTGGAGGGTGTTTGGGATGAAGTGACTGACGTGGAGGTGGTATAGAGTGTGTGGGTTGAAGTGAGGGCTCTGAAGAGGATGAGAGATTTTTCAGTGTGACTGGTACATAGGGTGGTACATCACGTGTCACTATACAAATGATATGATATGTGTGCTAAAAAGTTAATAACTTAAAAAATAAAATTTTCCATTATTTCTATTCAAACATGTGTTGTACCATTTGTATTCCCGTCACAATGAAAAATGTCCTGAAGAGGATGGATGGAGATGAGTTGGGTTGACCTAAGTGTGAGGTGACGTCAAATGGTGCAGAAGAAGTGGATTTGGGGGACACAGGTGAATCGTGATGGGTTAACGTAGTTATGTTGGGAATATTTGGTAAGGTAGGGGTAGGGGTGGTAAGTTGGACTTGATCGGTCACTCCCAAATTCCCAATTAACTTCTTTCCTCTCTCATGTTGCAGACAAAGTTATAGACCTCAAAATATATAGACTTTTTCAGCTGGATAAGTCAGTTATGATCTCAACTGTAAGAAATAAATCGAATCGAAAATTGTGATGCTGTAGTTGTTTCGGTACAAAGTACTCCGATGATCAAATTAGTAAAACAAGAACGTGCATGTTAATTATAGAGAAATGGCAAAAATAAAAACACGGAGGAAGAGAGAGGGAGTGACCGGTGGGAGGAGTGAAATGACTATTTAGCACGAAACAAATTGAACAAGAATATCACTTTGAATTACTTTTAGAGTTCATTTTATAAGCACCATTATGTACATATTTCTTTCACTTTCCCGTCTCATTTTTCTCATACAATTTTTTTTTCTCTCTAACAAAAAAAACTCCAACCAAAATTAAAATAAAATCATCACCAATCGAATTCTAAACATTATATATCTCAAAATACTATAAAGTATTGGCCGATACTGCATCGGTGTCATTCAGTGCAAGATTTTTCAATTGAAGTTGATTCAGTGCAAGTTTCAACTATTTTCTAGATAAAAAGACATCTTTACTGCGACAACTTAGATATTTTTTAGTCATTTCACAACGCTAACCTCAAGTCTCATTGGATCAACTTCTTACTATTAAAATTAAATTCAGACGAAAATTAAATTTATGCATTAAATTAGTGACCCATCGAATCCATTTAATGAACAAATTTAATACAAAAATTTGGGTGCCTATTAGAAATTAAAAAAAAATTCTTCCCGTGATAGTAAGTCGGTGATAGCTGACACTCACATTTTTGTGCAATAATTCCTTATAAATAGACTCTCAGTTGATCATTCAGATCCTCCCACCACTCCCTCTACCACCCACCCCCACCACCATCAGGGACGGAGGGAGGTAAGGCCCAGTGGGGCACCCCTCTCATCTTTATCTAGATAAATTCCAGATGATTCAATTAATCATTTCTATTTTTTTTTTGCTTTACAGATTATTCAATTAATCATACTAAAATAGTGAAAATTCATTTTTAATTTTTAAATGCCTCTTCATCTTATATATTTTTCTCACGCATTAATGTTTAAACTTTGTTGAGTTGTATGTATTTGGTTAATTAGTACAAATAAGCATTAGATTGTCAATAATTAAAGACAAAATTAGACAATAGAGTAATAAAATTAGGCATTTTGTAATTAATGCTCAAATTTTTTAAGATGCCCCCTTAGTTAAATTTCTGGCTTCACTGACCACCACCACCTCCTCCTCCTCCTCCTCCTCCTCCTCCAGCCTCGCTTCATTTTCTCACACAGCATATGCCATTTGCAGACTCTGTTTCTGTGTGAGAAAAAAAACCCAACATTCTGTGCCATTCAAGATTTAATCCAATTTCTTACCACTTCACCGTCATTCTTCTAATCATTACCAAAGGTAAAAAAGACACAAAATTTCAATAATTCGAGCAATTTTACCACCTGGGTTGTTCTTCCATTTTCACATTTCAATTTGAATTATCACTAATTTACACATTTTTCTCTGTTTTTTAGGGGTGTTAGGGGCCACATTCACGTTCACAAACAAGTGACCTTACAGTACGGCCGCGAATTCTAGCCAGCACCGCCAGCGACAAGCTCGACAGCACCGGCTTCGAGCTTCCCAAAGGCAGTTCCCGCGTTTTCCAAGCCCCGACCGGCTGGTCCGGTCGCTTCTGGGGCCGAACTGGCTGCAGCTTTGACGGTTCAGGTCGCGATTCTTGTTCGACCGGAGACTGCGCCTCGGGCGAGCTCGAGTGCAACGGTGCTGGAGCCGCACCACCGGCCACCTTAGCCGAGTTCACACTTGGCTCGGGTTCTCAAGACTTCTATGACGTTAGCCTCGTTGACGGTTATAACTTACCAATGATCGTTGAGGGGAGTGGGGGAACCGGTGCGTGCCCGTCCACCGGGTGCGTTACGGACCTCAACCGTAGGTGCCCTGCCGAGCTCAAGGACGATATGGAGTGTTCTAATCCTCCTAATGCCAGGGCTTGAAGAAAATAAAAGAGAAGAGAGCGAGTAATAGTAAATATTCTCTTCAAGAATCTTTAATCTTTTTTTGCTAAAGCATTAGTCTTTTGGTAATTTGGTCTCGTAATTTTGCGTTCTGGTGGGATATACATATGGTGGTTGTTGCAAGAGGGTTTTAATTTCTCTGATGGATGATTAAGTGTTGTCGTTTGGCGAACAAGTTTTCCCCTTTTACATACGTATATGTGGCGGTTCGGCTATAGAACTAGGTGCCCTTTTCATATTAATCCTTGTTATCGATGACTCTCGGAGCTATTAAATTGGAAGCCTTGTATTTCAAGTGTTAACCTTGGTCTCTACTTTCGATAATCGAACAATGTGTGTGGTTTGATGATGTTCTTTTTGTTGGAAGTTGAATTAGATATTTTCAACTGTTGTGGCAGTACACGGCTACATGCTCTTGATTTTCTTGTCAAGTGTGAATTTATGGTATCTCTAATGCATTGATGTGGTGGTTTGACCGTGTTCTATTATTTTCGGTTTGGCGGAAGTTGAATTGAATGTCTTCAATTGTCATCAACTTTAGGCAATAGAGTTGATTATCATCTTGTTTGCAGCTAGGTATTGCCACTTGCTTTTGTCATTGTTGTTGATACTGCATTGCTTATCGGGATCCTGTTTAAATTTGCTAATTGTTACATCTTGTTGATGTTGAGAGATCGAGATCATGTGTAGTCTAGAAAAAGTTTGAGGTGTTCGATCATTTGGAGAAAAGGAGATGAACCACTTGCTTTTGTGTTATTAGTTAACAAGGGATAGGATTTGTAAGCGTATTGTTCTGATTGTGCTTGATTAGTGAACTTGTGATAATCTTTGTCAAAATCGATTGTTACATATAGTATAGCTGCCGCCCTGGTGCTGCATTAACTTGAAACCTACTGTTGTGTTTGCTCCACAAAGCCCTGAATTCACATTTACACTGTCTTGATTTGGGTTTAGGTTGTATTATAGCATAAGCTTGGGTTTTGATTGTTGTTTTTTGTGTTAAGTGGACATTGGATTTGAAGTTTTAAATCACATTTAGCATTAGGATTTGACAAACAGATTGTAATAGGGTATATGTGTGTCAGTTCATATCTGCTGTTGCTTAAGAGATGGTGGGTGGGGGTAGGGGCTGCAAATGACTTAAGCAACTTGTCACTCCCATCTGGGTCTGTTTGGTTCTACCCAAGAAAAGCCTTTTAAGCCTTCCCGGCAAAGTGTTGGTATATCCCGAGCTCAGTTTTCAAACTAGCATAAGCTTTAATAGGACCTGTCAAGCTTGCGAATCCTTTCACGTGGATTGTTTACCTTCGAATGTTGATGGATAGATTGGAATGTTGCTTCTATAAATCTTTTGTTGATCCCTGTCTGCCTTTGTGTGGTTTCCTTCTTGTTTAGCCCCGTGTTTCAAGGTTATGGTATGACTTTCCTCCTAGCTGTAAGCCTTTTACTTAGCTCTGGACATTAAACGCTTGGAGTGAATCGTTATCCTACTTCCTTGTCAGTCCCTGCTCGTTGTGCTGTATGTTCCTGCTCATTGTGCTGTATGGATAGTTGATAGGTTAGGCAATAGGGATAGTTTCTAACTGAACATGTGGAAATCTGTGATGGTCTAAATGAACGGAACCTTCAGGCGGATGTCATGTTCTTCTATATTTCGACATTGAAGGTGCTCTAATTCCCGCATCCATAAACCGGTATATGACTTCGGCTCGTGATAACAGCGGCCGAAACCTATTATTGTATGCATTGCTTGCTTCTGTAGGTACAAGAGTTTTTACTGTCACCTGTTGAAGCTGCACTGTACAAGAAATTCTATATATACTAAAACGCGGTGAAAAACACTGTTTACGAGCAGTGTAATGGCTTAAATGCCCCTTGGTGTCTACTTTGTTTCCCGTGGTCTTACCTGCTTGGTACAGTGAGATGACGGTTTTGCCCATGTTTGCCACGCGTCGGTCATCGTTCAATCGTATCCTTTGCCTGGGTGTTCTAGATATTTTCTTCTGTTTGGGCTCCTTTCCTTCGCAGATGTATGCTTTTGCTGCTCTCCATCGTGGTCTCTCTTGCTCTCGAATCTTTTGTCCTTTTTTTCTCGCAAAATCCAACCTTTTGCTTTTTTTTATTTTTTTATTTTTTATTAGATGTTTGCACCCTCCATCTTGCTTTTCCTTTTGCTACCTCCCAGACAAAATGATCCATGTCCTCTCCTTGGTGGCTTCCACGTCTTGCACCGAAAGGTTGTGGCATCCTGTTGTTTCCAGCTCACCACGTTTTGTTCTTATCGGACTCTGAGTGGAATATTTGTAGTTGGTAAAATTTGTTGCAAAAATTGGGGGATCAATTTGCATTTGGGGGAGTGTTATGCTTCCTTATTGATATACTGCATTGAAAAAAAAAAAACCAATGTATTCAGTGTAAGTTTGGTTTTCTTTCCCTTTATTTCTGTACCATGAAAGTGTGTCTATTTTTTTTTTTGTTGCAGTCGGGGTGTGTTTAATATTGGTGAGTTGCTGGCTTCGGTGTTCAATTCACTGTAAGTGTAGAAATTAGATAAATAAGGAGAGAATATCATGTTAATCAAAGAAAATCATAACATAATTACATATATGATTATCTGTAATCCATGTCCCATACACACTCTAATTGATGTGCAAAGCACACAAATAGGAGTAATTAAATTACCTAAAACAGGATAATTAAAATATATAATTATTTAATACACCAGATTTGTAAAATAGAACAAAGGTAATAGTGTATTAAAAAAAAAAATAATTCAGAAAACAAAGGTTAGAGTAAGTTGTCTAAAATGGTTTTCTAAAATAGCCCAAGGGTGATAGTTTCCTAAAGTAGCCTAAGAGTAATAGGATTATTGTGTGTTTTCTCTATCTTATATGTTTTAAACTGCCAAGACCTTCAGCTCTTTTTTCTTTCGTCTAAAACAAAGGATTAAAATATTATGTTCCTCCTTTTTCTTCCTGTACCTTTGCTGGCCAAAAGGTTATTTATCTTTCAATTTTTCTTTTTTTTTTATTGTTAGTTGAGAGCAAAAGGAAAAGTGCCTAATAATTTTGTTAGAAAGTTTAATATTAGGTATTTGAAACTGGAATATTGTATAAAGAAGTGACTGAACAAGACAATTTTTGCAAGACAAAAATACTTATTGGGGTTAAGGGATTTTAATGATCGTGTTTCCAGACTTTTGGTTGTGGATATATTGCATTGTTATGGTTTAAGGAGAATTAAAATGGGTTAGGTTGTTTGTTTCTTGACTTATTAATTGTTCCTTATAGTATTATTATTACTTTGTATATCTTATTTATAACTATGTTTTTTTTTTTTTATTGCAGATAATTATCGCAGTAATTTTTATAAGCTATAAAGTGTTTTTGCTCGAATTGGAAAAAATAAAATAAAAAAGGGTAAGTCAAGCTGACAAGTAGTGTAAAATTTAGGATTTACAAATTTTTATTAATCATATCAATAATTATTTTTTAATATATGTGTGTGTGTGTGTGTGTGTGTGTTTTGGTGTTTGCATTATGCTTCAAATTCTTTGCTGTATCATTTGTCATCCTCTGTTAAAACAGTATTTGGATTTATGTCTTTTGTAGTATAGTTAAATTATTTTTCTTTTTGTGTTAGAAATTAGAGACAGGTTAAAACATGTTTCATGGTGGCTAGATAATTTCGTTGGTTCACAATTTAATAAATTTTTTGTTCAATAATATTTATATTGGTTTTATTAAATAAGGCCTCTTGCTCTTATATTTATAATAATGTTAAAGCCAATTTAATTTTCTAAACTGATAACAAGGAATAATATTTTTTGTTACAGAGTTTAAAGAAGCTTGGGGTTTTTGTATTTTGCACAGTTTGTTTCTAGGTTGCAAAGCATTTTATGCTCAAGGTAAGGAATTTAAATTTTAATAATTATTTAATTCAAAGTTTTGATTACTACAAATATAGTGTTTAAAGACATGCTCCAAAATTTAGAATCAAGTTGCTAGCATTGTTAATGAATGGCTAAATTTTTTTGTATTCGTTATATACAATTGAAATCATGTACAATAGAAAAAAAAATCCTGCTGTATTTCTCTCCTTCAACAATTTCTACAACTCATTCCTCAAAAAAAAAAAATTTCCTCTTGGTTGTTCTAAAAAATAACAATTGATTTCAATTTATGGTTCTTTCTTTTTTTAAGTTTAAGTATCATACTATTATTAAATATTGAATACTTTATGTGGAAATACTTACATAATACTTTTTGTATATACTTTTTCTGGTGTACATCAACATTTACAGTGTGTTTTTTTTGTGTGTATACAGAGTAAACAGTATGTTATCCGCTAAGGCAAAAGGGAGTTGCAGTTTCCTTCATATGGCAAACAGAGGTTAACTTGATTCTAACTGTTTTATTTTGTTACTTGGATTAGAAATTGATAAGTTTCAGTTCAATTTGATAATTTCTTGCAGATTCTTGAATCATTGATTTTCTTAATCCTGATGACACGCATCAATCCTATTTAATAATGAAATAACTGTGTTATTTTAGTTATACGAAAGACTAAAAACTATAATATCATTCGGCATTCATTTAATAATCAAATATTATACATAACTTTAAAAGTCAACATATATCTCCAGGCTCGGTTGCCTATTCTACTCTCTCACATGTTTAGTACGTTGCATAGCCTGAGATATCCCCATGTTCATAATTTGTTTTCAATCCATAATTCCTTCTTTTGCAAAATTTAAGCTCGATTCTGTTGCTGAATTCTTATACTTGATGTACACCAAAATATATAATACTGTGTATTTGCTATATTCAAAATCAACACTCCATTCTTTGCAAAGACAAAACGAGAAACATGATTTGTGTCGTATGACAAACATGTGACTTTCATTCTGATCATTCTTTTAATTCACTTAAATTAAAGATTGGTCAACTTAAGTATAATTCATTTCTTTACCTACAGAGTCTCAAATTACTAATTTTATTTAATACTATTAACAGAAATCAATCCAAGTTTATTTTAAAAAAAAATGATAATTCTGTTATATTCACGGTCTATTGCTTTACATTTAATTTCGTGTTAATGTCAATTCACAAATTTTACATTTCCTCTAAATTTATGTAAGTTTTATTCTTTGATTATCAATTTGTTGATCCTAGGAATAATTTTGAGTTATACACTGGTTACAACATTTTTCCTGTTTGACTTGCAACTTCAACGTCATTGTACACATTTCTAGAACTGTTTGTTCGATCATTGTTGTTTTCATGTTTAATTGTATGTTGCATTCTCAAGACTAGAAGAGGACTAACTGGGAATAAAAAGTCAATTTTTTTTTCCAATTTTCGGTATCTACTTTTTTGGAGTATAAATCATATTTATCATTTCAAAATACATATTCTTCATGATAATATGCAATATTGATAAAATACTTTATCTTAAAGTCTAATTTTTTTTTTTTTTTTCCCTTTCCATTCACTGCAGCCCCAGCAAAAAATTCTTCCAAACTTGCAACAGATACAAACTCTCCACATAAGTAAAACTTTCTACTATAAGGTCTTTCTTAGTTGCTAATTTTGATATACCTGATTAATCTCAATCCATTGTCTACTTTGTGCTCTTGGGTTTATGCTTAATGCAGTCTATTTTATGTATGTACAATTTTCTCCTTCAGTTTCTACTATTTTTTATTCAGCTTTTTTAAGTTATCTATACTGTTGATGTTGTTTTTTTAGCTTTAGAAGCTAAGGAATATCAAATGCCAAACTGAGTCCAGCTAAACTTCATCAAAAAAGGCTGGCTACAGGTATACCAAAAATTAGTATACTAATTTTCTACTAATAGTGTATCGTGTTCTGATATCAAATTTTCACTATTTTCATATAGTTAAGTGTAGGCAAGTGATGAAATAGACATATGCTCATGGATATTATTTACCAGAGTGAACATGCCAAGAAACAATCATTTCAGCACTTGCAAGGTATATCATTTTCTCACGCTTGAACAGTAACAATACATAATTCAATAAATTGATTGTTCATTTAGCTGTAAATTTGATCTCAAAAAATTTTCAAGTTGTTCTGGACTTTAATTTCAATGATTACCCAGTATCAGTTGGTTGTTGGTTAGCATTTGTTTTCTCAAATTTGGACTCTGAACGGTTAAATCTCTATTCAGTTTCTTTTGCTCAGCTCTTGCTCACTCTTGAGGTACCTGTCGTAGGATTCCTTTTGTTGTTGCTGATCTGCAGGTAAAGCTTCAATTTCAATATAAAGTTTCTATTTTTCTTCATTTCTGGGGTTTAGGTTTATATTTCAGTAATTCCATTTTTCTGCATCATCCGTACCCCCTCTCTCCCTTCGTTGTGAAGTAATTTAATTTCAGTGATTACTCAGTATTAACTGGTTGTTGATTACCATTTTTTTTTTTTTTTTTTAAATTTGAACTCAAAACAACTCAATCTGTATTCGATTTCTTTTGTTTTGTGTAAAAAGGGTTTGGACAATGTGGAAGAAAGAAATGTGTATTCAAGTCCTTCGATAATGAGTATAACCTTCTATTCCGTTGGATTTTGGTTATTTCAGATCCTCCAAGATGAAGGCTTTCAATATAAAAAGATGGTTCAGAAACACCAAAACATTGCAGATATCACCGGAGGTATCACAAAAAGTATCTTCTCTATTACACTCCCATTGTTCAATTTTTGTTTCAATTTCTTCACTTAATATCTGTTTCAGCTTCTTATTTTCCAACTCAAATATTGTAAATCTAAATTAGCTTAATAATCTTAACATGCATCTGAAACTCATTTGTGCAGAAAAAGAAACATCTCATTTCAACCAACTCAAGCCAACAAACTTTTACGGCACTTAAAAACATTATCCAAACTCCCAACTCAAGTAAGTCCTCACTTTCCATATGCTTCTTATTTCTTGATATCTAAGCAGCTCACATAGTTTTTAACCATTAGATCACATGATTTACCATCCACAATTACATAGTTTTTTTATTGTTTATATAAATTCCTTTTTGTTCCCAGCAACATGATCTCACTGAATGCTTCAGCGATGTTCTACAACGATACAAATTGCTTCTTTGATATACTTATTTTGTGGGATTTCAATGCCGAAAACCACTTACTTTCAATCTTTTCAAACAAGTTAACTTTGTAAACTAACAACAAACGAAAGAAGTTGTTTACTCTCTTGATGTCAATCTGTTTAGATTGATCAATGTTATCCTCCACTTTGAAACCTATGTTATGGCTCTATTAGTCTCAGCTTAAACGCTGCTAGAAACTTAGAGATGCATTCATTAATTCAAATTTATCTATTGCTCAAAGCTTAGAAGTTTTCTGGTTATACTGGATTTAACTTTGGCAATCTTTCACTGACCGAAACCCTCGCTGCCTTTTTGTTTCGTTCACAGCCATTGCAAAACCCTCTCCCTCAAAATGTCACACCAGCAAATTCGATTTCCCAAGTTCTCACACCTAATCTAAACCCTCACACCCACTGCCATCGCAAAACCCCCATCAAATCCTACAACCAACAAATTCAATTTCACAACCTTTCACGCCTAATCTAAACCCTCACACCTATCCCTCGCGACTTCACTATCAAGTGTTCAAGGTATGGATTGAACTCTGAATCTTCCTGCACCACCGGTCTCCGCAACGTTTTCCAAATTGAAGGTAAGCTTATTTGGTATTCTGGATTATAGTGGAATTGAAATAGGTTCGCTTTCGTTAACTTTTTGGGTTATTAAATTTGTATGCTCTGTTTATTTTGGAATTTTAGTTTGGATTCGAATTTGATTTTTATTAACAAATTTCTGATAAAACCCCAACAAGAAATTTAGGAACGTGTAATTTTTGTTTTTTTTTTTTTTTGGGTCTTCTTTCTTCTGATTTTTTGGGGTTTTCATCTGCGTTATTTTGTGAACATGCTCCATTTCTTTTACTCTTGGTTTCGTATACTTACAGCAGTCAAAGAAATAACCTTGCAGAACCAGAAGCCACTCGCCATTTGAGTGGCATATATGTTTATTTCTATGTTTTCGAATTTGGGTTTTAGATAATTTTCTTCGTTTTGGTTAATTATGGAATTTTGGCTCCCTTTTTCTGAAAACTTTTGAAATTTGTTTGCTATTTAGCGTGAGAATATGGGTCCGAGATGGGATTCTTCCAATTCCTGAGCAGGGAAAACAGGGAGGGATGGTGACAGTAGAGAACCAACTTCTTTGTGGTGGAAATCATAGCTTCATTTTAGATTTTCTTTTGGGTTTATGAAATGGGTTGGAATGATGTCTCATGATTATTGAACGTTTTTTAATATACTTGTGAACCAAATAATCTATTCATGTCTCATGATTATGTGAATATTGATAAATTTAGTTGTGAACCAGAATCTGGATATCAACCAAGGACTCACTGCGAGAGGGTTCATGTTTTTTTTGTAATTTGATTATTTTGAGCTCATATTTTTTATACTTCTGTTTTTGAAAGAATTAATTGTTAATTGTTATGTTGCATTTCAAGGCACGAAGCCAGGACAGAGTTTTCGTCTGCACCAATAAGTAAAAGATTCAATATTTTCACTCTGGAGACTCTGGATGGCCTATGTGTAGCCATTAAAGGGTTCATAAACGGGCAGAGAATTTTCGAAAATGGGATTCCGTCTGAGGTAGTACACTCGATTTTGCTAATATTGCTCTTCTTTACTGATTTCGGTTGACATTGTGAATGTAATTTGCTTTTGAATGTTTTTGGGTACAAATTTAGTTTCCAATTTTGGGTTTGCCTGGAAATTTTGATCGTTGGCCGACACCCGGACTGCAACATCATCTTGGCTTTGCAAATTCCACCTCCAAATCCTTTCTAACCCTTTTTTTCCCAAAAGCTTTCTCACCGATTTGTGATCAGGTAAGATTTTGGGGTTTTTATTTGGCATTTCATTCAAGTATTCTTTGCTTCAAATTAGAAAACAAACTCAAGCCCTCAAACCCTGAAAAAAAAAAAAAAAAAAAAAAAAAAAAAGCTTGATTCCTATGCATTCTATGTTGCTACTGAGGTATACAATTTTTTTAATTTTTGGTTTTTATTTTTCCTCCTCGGTTGTTATTTCCTTTTACTGTTTATTGTATCTTCTGTTTGGGAATGCCTCTGTTTTTTTACTTGCTGAGAATGCCTCTGTCAAATCCAATTATGAAGCATCTTTGGATTTTTATTGATACAAAGACCTTTTCTTTATCCAATTATGCCTGTGTCAACTCTTTTTAGTTTAAATGCACTCATTTAGTACTCACATTTATCTAATATATAGTTTTTTTTTTTTTTTTTTTTTTTTTTTGGCTATTTAGTGTGAGAAATTGGCTTCAAAATTGGATTTTCCAATGTCTGGGCAAAGGAAAACAGGAAGAGAACACCAATGGTGGTGACGATGGAGAATCCCTTCTTTGCGGTGGAAATTGACGGTCCATGTGCAGCATTCAGCCCACTTTATAAGGGCAGGGGTCAATATGAAGAACCAATGACACGGGGATTTGTTTAATTTTATTGTACTGAGGTAAAACTCTCCCCATTTAACATAGTTTTAAATGCTGATTAGTATATGTGTAAATAGTATTGTGAGTATGGTTGTATATATGTAGTAGTAGAATTGAAAACATTGTTTGTAATTATGTGTAACTAGAGTGTAAACCCGCGGGCTTTTTTGCTTGTAGTAATTAAACGTGCAAATCTGGTCTTAGTTTGGTTTTGTAAATCTGATGGAGCGGATGTTTCTCATCTTTTTGGACTTTCTGGGGTGACTTGAATTTGTGTTTTGAACTGACCCAATGAGCATGGGCTGCAGCAATACGCAAATGTTTTGGGTCTCTATCGGTCTGGCCCTTCAGGTTTTCACAGGACACTGCCCCTGTTCCCCTTCTGTTTTTGCACCAAACCCTTCCCCTGGGCTAGTTGTCAAGTTGCTTACTTGTAAGCAACGTTTGCGCACTCGTCTTCGTTGAAATTTAAGGTTGCCTTCCCTAGGTTGATGTCAAGTTGTTTGCTTGTAACAAAAGCAACGTCTGCGCACTCGTCATTGAAATTTAAGGTTGAATTTCATTCTCTAATTGATAAGCTCATGCTAGCCACTTTTTTTAATATTTGCTGAAGACCAATCCACCTCTCTCGCCTGCTAAAATTAAATATTAGAGAATCGTATTGGCACTTGAAAATGAGATGATTGTTGAATAACTATTTCGGAATGCTGGTAGAAACTCTATATTAGTATTACAAGTTTCCAAGTTGAGATTGGCTTTCCAAGTTGGTGTACGTACATATCAAAATACAACTGTGTTTGAGAGGGATTGTTTACCATTTTCCACAACTTGAAGCCTTTAACTTGTTCAATCTTGTTCTGCAAAAGAGTAAGTGAAAGCTAGGTTAGAATCTTGAGAGCAAGGCACTTGATCAGGTCACGTCAAATTTGTACTCGATCGAAATGTGTTTTGTGTACAGTTAGTTATTTAAGAGCGGTTTGGCTATACAATCGGAAGTATATCTTTATATTTTTTGTACATGTATAAAATTTATGTACATTAACACTAAATAATACATTACATATATTAACGGCTGACAATCACTTACAAACTTCAAGAGTATGATATTTGATTCCGATTACCTAACCGTGTTGCCTAGACCTAGGGAGGAAGACCATGTCAGGATTTATTAAATACGTGGCAGTTTCTTAATGCATGACTCATGTTGCTTCTGACACAATAGTGTTGAAATTCCACGTGTAAAGTGGATATTTGGTACCATCATTGACTGGTCTGATATTTTCAACTGACACGCTGAGAGTTCACGGGTCTGGCTTCTACAGGATCACTTCCGAAAATCAAATCCAAATCCAAATCCAAACATGTAAGTTTGGAGCCACACTTTCTGAGCTCTGGAATAAGCTCACGTTAATACAAGAAACTTTGGGCGTCCCGATAGCAAGCAAGTTTTATAAACTTCTCCAAACGCATAAGTCGTTTAGCAGAGAAACTTATCCACAACGGAAATATAATAGTGTTATTGTCTCAAATTAACCAACTTAATATAGTTGATTATTTAACTTTTGATGGTTTATAAATAGTTTCTAGTAATAATGCTACAACAATATTCACGTTGCTCGAAAGTTTTTCTAGTAAATCGGCCAAATTATTTAGAGTAATGCATCGTTATGTTCACTCAAATTCAAAACTAGTTTTCGAAGATTAGAATAATTTAAAACATCGCATTAGTCGAAAAAATTAGTCATCCTTCACAAGCTTCCAAAAGTTGTCTTCTCCCAAATGTTATTTTCTTTAAGAGCAATGTCAGAGAAACCAACTATTTAGATCAAATTTTATAAATTATATGACGTAATTGTTAATGATTGAATTGTTAATTAAATGTAAATTAATGTGCTTAATTATTATTAATGACACATCATATAATTTGTTTATTTAGTTTTAAAAATGAGAAATGCAAAGGTGACTTTCAAAATTTCTGAAACTTTATAATTTAACGTTAATTTCTATGTTAATATTATAAAATATCTTAAAAAAATAAAACGACGAAAAATCTATAAAAAATTTCACTTAAAAAAAAAAAATCTGTAGCTTTTATCAAAAAAATTAATTTCTCTGAAGTAACTCATAACTTTTCAAACATATTATTACAATGCCTTCTCTGCACACGTTGCCGCCACTTAAGATAGAGACACAAAACCCGTCACATGATCTCTGCCATGGTGACTCGTGAGCCCCCCACCCCATATTCTCCCACACGACTCCCAACTCTCTCCCCTTCCCTATAAAAACCCCATCTCTCCCACACGACCTACTGAAACAAAAAAGCACAGAAAAAAGAGTCATTTCACTTCCAATGGCTTCCCATCAAGTTTTTTCATCGTTCCTATTCCTTCTCTGTCTCCTTCAATCCATTAGAGTCGGCTACTCGGCGACGTTCACCATCGCAAACAAGTGCACCACCACCATATGGCCGGGCATTCTGTCGAATGCCGGGACTGACCAGCTACCCACCACTGGATTCGCTTTGGGTCCTGGAGAGTCCAACACGTTTTCCGTCCCTACCTCGTGGTCCGGTAGGTTATGGGGGCGGACGCTCTGCTCCCAGGACTCAACCACAGGCAAGTTCTCTTGCTTGACAGGCGACTGCGGATCCTCTGCAGTCGAATGTGCTGGCGGTGGAGCCGCGCCGCCTGCTACTCTCGCAGAGTTCACGCTGAACGGTGCGGGCGGGCTTGATTTCTACGACGTGAGCTTGGTCGATGGGTATAACCTTCCCATGTTGGTGGTGCCCGAGGGCGGGACCGGGGGGAACTGCACGACCACCGGGTGCGTGGTGGACTTGAACAGCGGGTGCCCCTCGGAGCTGAAGGTGACGGCGAGTGACGAGGGCGTGGCGTGTAAAAGCGCGTGCGAGGCGTTTGGGGAGCCGCAGTACTGCTGTAGCGGGGCCTACGCTACGCCGGACACATGCAAGCCGAGTTCTTATTCGCAGTTCTTTAAAAATGCGTGCCCGAAAGCTTACAGCTATGCGTATGACGATGGCACCAGCACCTTCACCTGTGCTTCCGCCAATTACATCATCACTGTCTGCCCTGCTCCTTCGACCAGGTAACCATTTTCACTAATTTTTTTAAGGATGATAGATGACCTGAAACTTAAAAAATAGACGATTCGAATTGAAGTAAATACAAAAAATAATTTATGTTTAAAAAAAAATGGAGATCCTTCCCTTCTTGGTTAACTAGTCTTGAATAACCCACTAAACGATTGTATCTCATGATCACGTTCGTTTGTCTGAGTTGCATTGTGTTTAGCTATAACGTTGCATGACATGTTAAGCATGAGTTGGTTCTATTACAGTATGATCATTGTCCAGGGTAACAGTGCTAGTCTTAGGTTCGAATCTGCTTGATAAAAAATTTGAAATATATTATTGAGGTCGCTTTAAACCTATTACGTGTGATTAAAGTCTTATCGAAGAACTACGAAAGTAAAACACAATTAAGATCCAATGTTGCGAAATTGTATGAGTATTTGGTGAAATTGTTGTTTTTACTTTACAAGATCGGTTGAGATTCGACCATTTTTGGATTGTCAAACATGTTAAGACATGGCTGTCACGTTTTTGTTTTAATAATTGACACGCATCGCCACAAGCACCGTCCATGCTTTATGATTGCAGGCAACTGGCACAACATGTAACATTTTTTGAATTATTTAATTACATTATTTTAATTTATTTATCGTTTTAAAAATTTATTTCTGATTTTTGAGTGAAATATTGACGGTGGGTTTTGCACTTTGCAGCGTGAAGTCGTCGAATGGGACTGTCCCTGGTGCGGCCGATGTCTCAGCTAGTTTACGTAATACAACGCCCAACATCGTCGTTTTCGCCATCACTGTTATGGCGGCGGCTTGGCGGTGGCCGCCGCTATTTTGAATCTCTGCAGCAGATTTCACACTAGAGATATCTCATCGGAGATCTGACGTAATAGGCTAACAGTTTGATTTCGAAATACGGTGGGGGCCCAAACATATTGACTTTTCTGAAAGCGGACGTAGGAGAAAATGGGGCCCACGATTCGATCGGAGGTTACAACTTTGCATGTGGGTGTGAAACGGAGCCGTAACAAAGCTATGGCCCCATGTATGCGACTTTGGTGACACATACAAACACATACACACTGTGATCCACGTCGTCTGATTTCAAAAGGACAAATCAGGAGCGTTGCCCTTGCTGCCATAAGCACATAGGGTTTTCCACTTCTTTTTTTTCTTAATTATTGTCAATTTTCGGATTTTAGATTGAGATGTAAATAATTATATATATTATAGTAGAAAGCAGATAGAATCAGTAGCTGGAAATGTAAATCTTTTGCTGCTAGATGTATGTTTTGGTCAGCATCATGAAAGTCCGAACAAAATGCGGACATATCGTTGTTTCACACTTCAAATTGTTGATTAAAACGTGCAACAACAAAGAGCATGTTATCGAATTAATTAACATTTCGTCTTTCTAATTAGTGTGATAATTGAATTGAATTTACCTTTTGACGAAGAACAACACAAAGTGAGTAGATACAACTGCTTTTTCAACAATTTCTTGTAGATAAAACGATCAGTTAAGTAGCTTTTACACCTAGACATTGCTACATGCATGTGCATGGAAAGCAATCCAAATTGGCTATGCACTTTTCCATTTCTCATTCATATTTTTTTATTTTTTTAGAAACTTTAATTCCACAAGTTGTACGTAGAATATAACCTGTAAAGCTTTACATTCTTTCTAGCTAATTTCCTAACTTTTTTTTCCTAATATAAAAGACCAATTATGACAAACCAAGCTAGATCCCATCTTAGTGCTAATTTGAAAGTGATTTTAAAATGACAGAAAACGTTTTTAGAAAGAAAAAAAAAATTTGGTTCCAAAAACACTTCCAAAATTCACCTGCATTTTTACTAAAAACTAGTTCCAAAAACATTTTCACCAAAAGCTATTTCAGTCATTTTGAAAGTATTTCCAAACCAACCCCCTTAATCAGTTTAAATGTTTGATAATTAAGTTAAGATTCTAAATATCGTAGTCACCTTAATTAATATAATCAAGATTTTGTTGAACAAGTTACAGAAGATTCTTTACTCGTGATCAAATAACGAAAATGTTTGCACTGACTTCCTGGCAGGACCATTCATACATATATAC